CGTCGACATCTTTGCAGGTTTCCAACGCCGTTCATTGTACACCAAATCAATGAGGTATTGATTTCTTCTTCCCCAGACACGTCCAAACCTTCAATTTATGTCGCTGAATAAACTTTCTGTCGACGTCTTTGGACGTTTCCGACGTCGTGCAGGGTGTTCCTCGTCTCCTGTCCCCTTCTGTTTATACCATGGGTAATTAATAGTCTTCCGTTGAGATTGGTATATATGGGAATATATTTTATGTATGTGTACAGAAAATGGAAGTTCTAAACATCTTACAGTGTTAGTATACCTAATTATATTCGTATATATAGGTATATATTGTATATGTGAATATATCTTATATGTGTATATATATATCTTATAGTTCTGTAGAAATGGTCCTCCATACCATTTGTAATTATTAGTCTTCCATTAAGATTGGTATATATGGGGATATATTTTGTTTATGTGTATAGAAAATTGAAGTTCTAAATGTCTCATATTCTTAGTATTTCCGATTATATTCGTACATATAGGTATATATTGTATATGTGTATATATCTTATACGTGTATATATCTTATAGTTGTATACAAGATATAAACGCATATATCCTATAGTAATGTAGAAAGGGTCCTCCAAAACTGAAGTTTTAAACGTCTCATGGATGAAGCGAAAAAAGTTCTTAGATTTCGAATTTGGGAGATTTTTGGACGGGATTTTGAGATATTTTGGGAGGTTATGATTTCAATTTTGGGGAATTTAGGGTTTTGTTTTTAATGTTTTGGTGTTTTAATTTATTTTGGAAAGTATCACACTAAAATTATGGGATCTAAATTATAACCTTCCAATTAATCAATTTTGCATATTAAAATGAATTTAAAATGAATTTGTAAATACAAGAGGCTATTTAAGTAATTTATATGATGGGTACCCTCTTAAATAGGGTTGATACATGACAAATGTGTAAATTCTATACATTTCATCCTTTTATGTAATTAGGATATTTAAATAGCCCATTAATGTACTAATCCTATTTTTTTTGTTTTCATTTCTCTCTCCTCTTTCTTTTAGAAATTTTGTAACTGATCCCATTTCTTGTTCCTAAAATCTGAGAAATATTTCCAAAATAGAAACTAAATTTTGGAAACAGAAAAATAATTTTGTTCCTCCTGTTCCTGTTACTTTTTATTTTTCATGTCCAAGATTTCTGATTTTATATATATATATATATATATATATATATATATATAATATTTTGAAGGGGATTAAATATTATATATTTTGCACCTTTGTTCAAAATAAATTGACATCAGGTTGGAATCTAGGGATGGCAAAAAAACTCACAGGTACTCGATCCGATCGGGTCGGGGAATCTTCGATTTGACCGGGGATCCCAATCGGGGTCTCCAATGGGGACGGGGGAAGATTTCCCGCCCCATCCCTTCCCCGTTTAATATTTTATTACTTTTTCTATGTTTTATATAATAATATTAATATATATTAATTTTATAAATACTTTTTAATTTTTTTTTTAAAAAAACTAAAACTAATATCTCATTTAGCCACTTTTTTTCACTTTTTATACTAGTAATAACAAAAATTAATTAAAAATTAAAAATTAAAAAATATATATTTATAACGAGAACGGATTCTCAAAAAATACCTCATATCAATGGAGATAATTATCCTGTCTTATATGTCCATGATCACCTTCTTCCCTAGTGAATATGAGATTTTGTTTGCAATCATCTTACAAACCTAACAATTCCTCTCTTATTATGATTCTTGTTATTAGACCTCCCTCTCACAAATAATGACTCTCCATCCTTTTTACTTTCTTTTAATTCTAATTCTTTCATTTTTATAATATTAATCACCACAGCAATAGACAAATCATCTCTATCATATTTCATAGGAGACTTAAGATCATTATAGGCATAATTACAAAGAATAATACCCCATCCTCGCCCCAAAAGTTTCGAGGACAGGGGCGAGGATGGAGGAAAAAATCTTCAATCAGACGGGGATGGGGATGGCCCCCCAACCTCGCCCTGCCCCCTTGGTGTTAAGCGTGCACTCGAAATTTCGGGGCTCCATTTAGTTTTGTGTTCTATTTTCATAAGTAAAACTCTATTTTTTTAAAAAATTTCTTTAACAAAAAAACATATTTTCTATTTTCCAAATTAAGAATATTTTGAAATTTTATTCTTTATTTAAAGCTAATAATTTAGATTTTTTAATATTTTCTATTTTCCAAATTAAAAATATTTTAAAATTTTTACTCTTTATTTTTTTTTAGTAAAAAAACCTTAATTCTTTATATAAAGATAATAAATTATTTTTTCTTTAATTATTTTTTATATTAATTATATCTACAAAATTTTACTCAAATTAAAAATAAATATAAGTAAACTTGAGTTTAGACAAATATCCCGATCAAGAGGTCGGTGGTTTGAGTCTCCAACAGCACACGTACTTTGACTTTGTACTAAAAAATTAAAAATAAGAAATAAGAAATAAGAAATAGTTATTAAATATTTTTTTTTCTGATTCTATTTTTCAAGAAAAAAAAAAGATAAATGATTACAAAACGTATTCATGTTTCAAGTTTCTACGGGAATCAGGAAACAAAAAACAAGTTATGAAAAAAGGAGGGTGTTACAAATAGATCCTAAAATAACTGCAAAAGGTTCAAGTTATATGGGATGCTCTTCTTGATTTGGCAGGGTTGTAATTTGGTAACCTTTCCTGTTTCTATTTCTCATGAAACATACTTTTTTTTCTTTATATTATCAGGGGTAGCTAAAAGATATATTTTTATTTATTAATTAAGATTAAACTTTGTTCTAGTGCCACGTGCATAAAATATATATTTTGTTATCTCTTACACTGTCTAAGTTCCAGTTTTAATGATTTATTTTATTTTTCTAAAAAATTACCGCTCGTCTTCAAAGAGACAACCGCATAAAAACATGCTTATCTTTTTATTTATATAAAAATAAAATAAAATTCTGCGCCACATCATATGGTCGTCTTAGACACGACCCAGTGGCAAACTAATTTCAAAGCATTATTTTTAAAATAGTTTGAAAGTTTGCATTTTTATTTTTAATATGTTTCCGATAAAGTATTATTTTAAAAATAAGTTTTTACAAAAATATTATTTAAAAAAAAAAAAACCCAAAAATTTTTTCATCCTCATTTAGGGGAATCCCCATAAATATGACAGCATCCCTACCTAACTCATGTTGGGTTTTATGTCCTAAAACTCATAATTTGAAAATGACGGATATACTTTTATCATTCAATAAAGTTGTTATTGAAGGTTTTAATCAATAAGTAGTTATTGATCCAATAAAATGTTCTTACTATATCTAAATCCAATAAAATAAAAGATCCTAGACTGGTACCTGAGACTCAAACTCTATGTAAGAGACATAAATATGGATCAAGTTTGAGTTAACAGTCTAAATGGTCTATAGTATAGGAATAAGGTTGGGCGCCTTATTCCGGGGACACTATGGATGCGGCCCACTTTGTAGCTAGTACAAACGATGTGATCCTAATTCGTTCATGTGAAGACATGCGAGTGGGGGTGTCCCGTGCAAAGAGTTTGCATAAGACCGGACCATGAGATAGTCACTTTTGCTTTATAACACCGTTTACTGTTTGAAACTGACTATCCCAACTTTGATGGCCTAGGTAACTTGATCTTAATCCTGAGCTAACTATGAACTTCTGTTTACTCGGGATTATCCTTAGATCTGCATGGGTGAGAGCAGCTCAACAGCGCTGACTCAATAAGCCTCCCATTTCAAGGGTAAGACCCGGTAGATAGCTAGGGACATAGGGTGCAAGAAGGAATTCACTTCTACCCAATTTTGGGATAGTAGAGAGGTTGTTCTCTTAAGGGCTGAATCCAGGTCTTGAACAATTGGCGCCACCCTCATCAAAAGGTTTGAGAGGATTTTTTGATTTGATAGTTGGACTACAAATCATTGTTCATCAGAGGATTAGTGGGACTTAAGGAACAAGAGGTAATTACAGGGGTAAAGCGGTATTTTGACCCAGCTGTAATTACGAACAACCTGTGAAGGGTCAACTTACCGATCATGGTTATATCAAATGGACATAATATATCTACAGTGAGGAGAGTGCAGCTACAGGCTTTAGTGGAGTGACCGCGTAGTTAACGATT